ATAATATTCAATTTAGGTTTGTTCTAACATTTAATGTGTTTTTTTCTAATTTTATTCTTGATTATTTATTCTTTCTCTTTTGCCATGCTCTCTCTCATTTACATTTTGTCATACATTCTTTTTCATCATCGTTCTTCTAGGGTATATATGAAAATAAAAATATATTTCTAACCTATTTACTCCTTCCTTCATCTCTTTTTATAAGCAACTCTGATTCTATCACGTAAAACAAAACATTAGTTAAAATTGGTTAAAGACAATAAATGAGTAGAAATTAGAAGTTCTTTCTCTAAAATATCCTTATTTATAGGAGAGAAAGTATTAAAAAAAAAGAGAATAAGAAATTTATTACAATAAAGAGAATTATGAAAGAGAGAGAATGTGTGATGGAGAGAAGTGATGGTTTAGAGTGCTAGATAGGAATTTTGATACAAAAATTTAAGATAACTTGCAAATATTGTTTAAATTTAGAGACAAGTAGGAGATGGTAGCTATTGATTATAAAAAAAAGACAGAAAATATTTTTAATTACTTTTACCTGATTTTTAGTTATATGCAAATCAATTATTTGAAGTTTATAGCAATGATGGTAAGAAGTATCATTGTTTGATTACCTTGAAGCAACAAAAATAATAGACTTCGGAAGTAAAAGAAAATTTAGTTGAGAAGATACTTTTTTTTGGTCTAGGAAGGCAATTTGTTTTTGTTATAAAAAAGTTTAGGTGAGAAGATGCTTCTTTGTTCTACTGGTTGGGGTTTGTGACATTAGGCTGGCCCAATTACCACATTACGCATACTCTAACCCATCAAAATGACCTTGCCATTTGTATTACAACAAAAAATGATCATGACATTGCATCAAATAAAAATTGCCCAATGGGCCTTCTACGAGGAGGATAAACATTATTATGCAAAAAGACTAACTTCACAAATATTTTAGGCCCCGTTTGAATTGATAGTAGAAAATATAGCTTATTTTTAATTTGATTTTTGAAACAATTATATTAGGTAATATAATTTAGGGAAAATGACAGAAAAAGGACTATTGAAATTTGAAATGACAAAATAGGTATGCAAATAACTGAAATGACCAAATAGGCATGGGGTATCAATCTGGAATTTTGTCAATTCGGTAGAAAGACTAAAATGCCCTGAACCTCTCTGAAGATATGAACTGGAAGAAAACAATACTATACCAGAAGAGAGAGAGGCTGAGAAGACAAAGCTAGATCAAGGGTCGAAATCTGGAAAGAGGGAAAGGGTAAGCAATTTTTCCGTTAAAACGCTGGTATCACCCGATTTCTTGACTCGCTTTGTTGCTGCATGCTCGAATGGGATGGGTCTGTGAGTGTAGAGGGTTTGGATGAAGAATTTGACCAGGGCAAGAGAGTGACGCGTCGGGAATGGAAAAATGGTGACAAACAGTAAGCATGAGGTGGTCAGTGTTGTTAAATTCATTAGTGAAATTGTAAATTCCTATATTTAAGTTGTCACTGGAGTAAGTGGGTGTGTGTATTTTTTGGTTGTTTCGAAAGATAAATGAAATTGATTATTGGGGAACTAAAATATTGATTTATGCTTCTTTGTTGCAGGTTAGCAGGCTTTGATGACATCTGACATTGGGTCTAACATTGAGGAGTAATTTTTTTGGTGTAAATAGAATAACTTTTGAACCCTTAATTTTTTTGGGAGAATAGTTGATAGAGATGTTATCCTTTTTGTAAATGATGTTAACTGGGTAGGATATGTTTGTAATCTGAATGACAAGGAAACATTGGGTGGTGGTTTAATCTTAATGTTAACTTGTCATTTGAATACAAGTTACGTTACTTCTGTCATAAACATACTGGTTTTTGGTAAATCTTATCACTTCAATAGTCAATTACATTATACATGTAGTAAAGTCTGAATGTTAATATAAACATATTATGATGTTCTTCAGGTGTACTTGTATGCTATTTTGTCAACACATTTTTACCATTTGCTTAATTCCTCTAAGGGAGATGGTGGAAGTTGCCAATGGGCATGACCGGAGTGGTTAATTTGATTACAAATGCTGTTATTCACATTACAAATGTTGTTATTATCATTATCGGGGTAGTAAAATTGGCTGAAAATATATGTTATTTGGATTTGAAAGAAATGAGTTAACAAATGGCAATAACAAGATAGTAACTCTTATTGCAAAAGTTATAATTCACGTTACAAATATTATCATTGTCATTATTATGGTACTAAAATTGGCTCCAAATGCATGTTAAATTCATTTCACATTAACCAGTTGCAAATGACAATAGCGAAATTATAACTCTCATTACGAAAGTTGTAATTCACATTACAAATTTTGTCATTATCATTATCAGGAGTGTGAAATTAGCTCCAAATATATATTACTTGGGTTTGAAATAAACGAGTTGCAAATGGCAATAGCGAGATGATAACTCTCATTACAAAAATTGTAATTCATATTACAAATGTTGTCATTATCATTATCGGAGTAGTGAAATTGGCTCCAAATACATGTTACTTTGGTTTAAAATAAATGAGTTGCCAATGGCAATACGGAAGTGGTCACTTTCATTACGAATGTTGTTAATCCCATTACGTGTGTAGTGAAATTTGGGTCCAAATAGATGTAATTTGGGGTACAAATAATTGAGTTGCAAATGCCATGACAGAAATTACAACTTTCATTATGCATGCTGTAATTATCATTACTTGTTTAGTGAAATTATTCCAAAAAAGATTTAAATTAAGCCAACAAATATCATAACTTACAACCTACAACCATAAGTCAAGTATTTTGACAATATCTGAACACTACTTTCACAAATACTATATGTTTAATTTACGTAATCTTTACTACTATCACAAATGCTGTCTTTTGGTCAGTGTGGTGGCTTCATTTGATAAAAATAAGCCACTCACTACCCTGATAATGATAATAACAACATTTGTAATGTGAATAACAGCATTTGTAATCAAATTAACCACTCCGGTCATGCCCATTGGCAACTTCCACCATTTCCCTTGGAGGAATTAAGCAAATGGTAAAAATGTGTTGACAAATAGCATACAAGTACACCTGAAGAACATCATAATATGTTTATATTAACATTCAGACTTTACTACATGTATAATGTAATTGACTACTGAAGTGATAAGATTTACCAAAAACCAGTACGTTTATGACAGAAGTTACGTAACTTGTATTCAAATGACAAGTTAACATTAAGATTAAACCACCACCCAATGTTTCCTTGTCATTCAGATTACAAAAATATCCTATCCAGTTAACATCATTTACAAAAAGGATAACCTCTCTATCAACTATTCTCCCAAAAAAATTAAGGGTTCAAAAGTTATTCTATTTACACCAAAAAAATTACTCCTCAATGTTAGACCCAATGTCAGATGTCATCAAAGCCTGCTAACCTGCAACAAAGAAGCATAAATCAATATTTTAGTTCCCCAATAATCAATTTCATTTATCTTTCGAAACACCCAAAAAATACACACACCCACTTACTCCAGTGACAACTTAAATATAGGAATTTACAATTTCACTAATGAATTTAACAACACTGACCACCTCATGCTTACTGTTTGTCACCATTTTTCCATTCCCGACGTGTCACTCTCTTGCCCTGGTCAAATTCTTCATCCAAACCCTCTACACTCACAGACCCATCCCATTCGAGCATGCAGCAACAAAGCGAGTCAAGAAATCGGGTGATACCAGCGTTTTAACGGAAAAATTGCTTACCTTTTCCCTCTTTCCAGATTTCGACCCTTGCTCTAGCTTTGTCTTCTCAGCCTCTCTCTCTTCTGGTATAGTATTGTTTTCTTCTAGTTCATATCTTCAGAGAGGTTCAGGGCATTTTAGTCTTTCTACCGAATTGACAAAATTCCAGATTGATACCCCATGCCTATTTGGTCATTTCAGTTATTTGCATACCCATTTTGTCATTTTAAATTTCAACAGTCATTTTTCTGTCATTTTCCCTATAATTTACGTTTGGATTATAGCTTTTATAAATAAGTTAGTTTGTAAAAACAGTTGTTTGGATTATGATTGAATGAGAAGTTTAGTGTGTAAAATTATCAAATTTGGTATGACTTTTATTAAATAATAAGTTTGTGTGTATGAAATTCCCAGAATACCAATGCTTAGTGTATATAAAAATTTATCAAGTCATGGTCTCACCAATTAAATTTCCAATGGGAACTTTTCCTTAATTTTTCTTCAATTTTATTATTTAATTTTTTTCTTTGAATATCCTTATAAACATCAATTATTGAATCTTTTGAAGTAATTTTATTTTTTTCATCAAATCAAGATAGGATCCACTTCGAGACCTTTCTCCTTCTTCGATCATGATATCCCCCCCCCCCCCCCAACATTGAATAAGCCAAAAGCAACTCCATATTGGCTTATGCTTTTAAGCCCCTTTTGCTTCAAAAGCCAAATTGATCAAAAGTGATGCAAAACATATGTAAAAGTACCAAACATGCTTCTACCCCCAAAAGCTACTTAAAAGCCCTCCAATCATGTATATCTGCTTGACAAAACCGTAATAAACTCATTACCAAAAAAAAAAAACCGTTATAAACTGATCGCTACAAATTGACCAATATAAATATGATGCCCAGTTGGCGCCATGTGGCACTAATTGCTCCAAAAACCACTACTAAAGATGACACAAACTCCTTCCTAGTCAAAAAACTGCAAATTTGTAGTGATTTGACTTAAAAACACTACAAATTATGCACTTCGTAGCAGTTTTTTAGAACCCCTACAAAGTAACAACTGTAAAGACAGTTTTTTGGGGCAGTGGCAAGCAATGTGCCAAGTATCTTACTGTCATTACAGATATCAAATCATTTCTTTAGAAATTCTGCACGCACAACTACACATTGCCAAATCTAAGAAAGGCTAATATATATACAGAGAGAGAGATTACAAATTGAAGTAATAAGCAAAATATACACTGGGTACAAGAACATTAAAATAGCCTCTATTTTACTAGTAAAGCACATGCTCGCTTGGTTTGAATAGACATCTTAAATAAAATGTTGAGTAAATGATATCCAAAAAAAGTTTAAATTGTGAAAGTAAAAATATGACTACTGGTAAAAAAGAAAGAGCTGAAATGAAGATAGGAACCCACTTTAAGCCACGGTCATATGTCACAAAGAAAGCACTACTAAATGCTATCATCATGCTTGTTATGGAGATGAAGAGTGTTATCAATCCGAATATTAGCTTTGAGGGTAAAGAATGATGAAAGTCATATTCTGCATAACGTGATATGAGAATGGATAAGAAGATTAGTATGGAAGCCGAAGAGGAGATCATTGCAATGGCATCTGATATTGCAAATATCGTAAATGATCGTTTTCCCAAATAATTTGGAACTCCTGTATCATCCTTAATACCACCTGGTGTGCTAAATGCCGCAGTAAACACACCGGTAGCAATAAGAGTTGAAACAAGCATACATGACTTAGCTGTTCCTTTCATCCAAGATTCAGCATCTTTACGTAATGCAGCATGCTCCTCAGTGAATAACTCACAAGGGGTTTTATCCTTTGAGTTTTTCTTCTTCATATATGAGGGCAACACTATCTTCCTCACCTCCTGCCATATCAAGGGATTGTTCATAAATTAATTCATGTAAATATTCTAGTTTTTGGGATCATCTAAATCATTTCATATTTACCAATAAAAAAGTACCTCAAACCATAATAGTTCAAACTTCATTTGGAAAGCTGCTCCAGAGACCAATTCAAGTCGATTAGCTGGTGCTAACATTGCAGCCAAATGTAATATAGTGTTTCCACTATTTTTGTCTTTATATGACAACATGATATCCTTTCTTCCGCTTATATCATGGATGAGATTGAAGATTTTAGGATGACGATATAAAACAGCAATATGAATTATAGTTTGTCTTTTGTCATCTAACTGCCACATTAAATCAGGGTAAGACTTTATAAGTGTAGCTAAAAAGTCAAAGTTTCCAACTTTTGCTGCATCAAATAGTAGTCTTGATGGTTCATTTATGAGTTTCTTCATATTTTCCTTTGAATCTACACCGTTGAGAATTTCTTCCCATAGGAGATGAACAAGGTCAAGGGCAACACCATTCTTCGTACCTAGGGTATATAATTTGATAAATTGAATATGCCCAGTTAGAAGTTAGGCAATATACTAGATGCATATTGATAAATATTTGTTGGGAGGGGGGAGTAGAATATTAATAGATCACTTGTTAAGAACAGTTTTTTAGTCTTCCAAACAGGCAGTTACAATGCTAATCAATTTACCTGAACTTGTGAGTTGAATTTGATGTTCTGGCCTATAACTTCCTAAATCTGCTGTCTGAGCCATGATATGTAAACCTGTCATGCCATCTTCATCCGTTGCAAATGCTAGTTTTCCTTTTTCTTTCAACATGTGCAATGCCAAATCTATGAAACAGTTATCAACAGAAACGCAAATTCTAAAATTAAAAGCTGTCAGACAGTTTAATAAACATAGAGCTACATATCAAGCTCAAATAATTCACAAAGGATGTTATTTTTTTAATTTTGTTTGTACTAAATACTTATTCGTGCCCTACTTCTACTTCACTTATAATAATTAAGTGTATTTGTGCTTCGTACGCAATATATACTTACCATAAATACCAGAGTCAATGCAAGTGAGGAATAACTTCTTCCATTCTACTTCTTCAAAATTTTCATCAACAGTGAAAGGATATAGATACTTTGTCAAATCAGCTCTTCCTTGTAATGCAGCAAAAAGAATAGGAGTGAAACCTGTTCGACTTCTTATTTTTGGTAAGAAGCAATTTTTTCCTAACATTAACTGAACAATCTCCAAGTTTCCTGCAATAGTAGCCAAGCTGAAGGCAGTGTTTCCGTTTGAGTCTTGTAAATCCAAGTGTATTTTGTTCTCTTCCATCATGTTCACAAGCTCCTCCACAAAGTGAAAATGACCTGCTCCTACTGCTACATGAAGTATTGTTGACCATCCTTGTGCTATGGCAGCACTCAGAAGCGTTCTATTTTGACCTAATATGAGCTTAGCTTCTTCCCAATTGCCTTCAGATGCATACTTGTGAAGAGGCACACATAATTTCAAGTACATCATTCTGGCCTCAGCTGAAACGAAAGTGATTTCATTGTGAAATTCTCATATTAATTTGTGGGGATGTGACTTATTTATGGGAACGATCATCTTTTATAGAGAGCCAAAATTTACGCATAAGGAGGCTAAGATAAAATTGGTCGTGTGTAGTAGGTAAAGGTTGATCTAATGCTCTGAAGTATTTTTTTAGGTGTGTTCAACACTCTAAAGCATTTATTTAATGGTTCATTAATGACCTTGAAATATTTTCCAAGTTTATCCTGAATTTTGAAGTATTTTGTAGTTCATTTTACACAATGTCATATTTTTTCAAGTGTGTCTATTACCATGAATACTCTAAACCCATAAATTAGGGTATTTAACGCAACTAAAAACATATTATAAAGTGATGGATAAATCACAAAAAATTTTAAGAAGACACGCCTAAACAAATATTGCAGGTGTTGTATCAACTACTAATTAAATAACTTAGGGTAAAAAAAATTTGAAAAATTAGGGAGTCATCTCCCCTGCCAATCCCCCTTCTTCAGTCAGTATTTCATTAGATATTCATCCCCAAAATTTGCAATGAAAATACACTACTAAGTAGACAAAACGTTGCTGAAATACTACCAAACAAGAAGGTTAAAATATATGTGAAAATATAAATAATGAAAAAGAAATTAAGATTGTAAAGATGAGATATGTATGTTTTTATATCATTTTGTTGCCTTGTGTACGAATAGATAAACGTAAAATGGAACATAATTTAAACTTTATCTTATAGTATCAAAGGATAGATATTTGGTTATGCATATTAAATTGATTTTTTTTTATTGTTATAGGAAAATCGTGAGGAACCTTAAAAATAACTGAACGCATTAGTGTTTTATATGACATTAGAGAAAATGGAGGGAGTAGTTAATTACGCGTATCCTGTAAAAGGTCAAGGGAAGGTCTCTTGAACACGGCTGATTCCACCCTTCGTAATAGGGAGTTACTGGGTACTTCAGGAGGATTCACTATATCACCATTTGATGCATTCATTATCTGCAAAATTATACACATTAATTAACACTTCATTATATTCGGTATCATCATGATGATTTTTCTATCAATCTTATTTTTGGTTAAAATGCATTCAGTAAGTATTTTTTACGTGCATTTTTAAAATGTTTTACAGTGCATCCAGTACCTCCAAGTATTTTGTTAGATACATTCAGCGTCCTAAATAGAGGTGGGAATTAGGACCGGCGCTCGGTCCTATAGAGCCGGCCCTGTAGGCTGGTGGGCTTAGAAGAGCCGGCTTTACAAGGTTGAAATTTAAAAAATATCCCAATTTGTTAGGCCTGATTCTTAAGCTAACAGGCTTAGGGCCGGTTGGTGGGGCCCATATAAAAAAATACTATTTTTTATAATTCTCATATTTTTTATCAAAAAATAAAAATAAACTAATGAAATTATTAATAAAGACATAAATATGAATAAAATTAAATCACAAATACAAAATATCATCATATATAAATATCCATCAACATCTAAAAACATTTAAAACATTTATTAACAAGATAACAACATCCAAAAGTTTCATCTACAATGCAAATGTGCAATAAACAAACACTATTATAATCTTTTAAAACTTCATCATCATTATAATTAATTACTCTTCTTCATAAGTATGCTTTTCTTTCTTAACAAAAATATCAAGTTTTTCTTTTTATAGGAATTTTACTTTTAAATTTTGCAATCTAGCTATTGTTTTACTTTAATTTGAGAAACATTGTTATTGAAACTCATAAATTTCTAATTCAAATTATAGAATTACAAGTTATATAAGTATACAAATACCCTCTTATCAAATATATATAGTTTAAAATATCAACTCATATAATATAAATCAAATCATTATTAAGGTCCAAATTAACCCATTTTTTAAAATTTAATTGGACAAATTATTGTCTAAAACTACATAAATCAAACCATTATGTGAAATTTAATTTTAAAATGATAATAATAACTAAATATTTGAAATATCATTAACAATGTAAAAAAATTAATAATATTAGAATTACACCAATTTTTTTAAAAAAAAAATTATAAAAAGGCCTAAACGGGTTGGCCTGTTTAAGCCCTCAGCCTTACAAGGCTAGACTTGTAGGGCTTGTTTCCCATTTGAGGGGAAAATTTTTAAGCCCGATCCTCATAATTTTTAGGCATAAACGGGCTCAGCCCGTTTTTTCGGCTCTAGTCCTAAATTATATTTTAATATATCTAACATCCTAAAATATTTTTAGGTGTATCCCGTATTCTAAATTATTTTTTGGTATATCTAGCACTCTAAAATCCTAAGTGTAAAATTGCGCCAAAAAATCTTTAGGGTGCTGAACTGCTGGATGCACCACAAAATAAATTAATATACTGGATGCCCCTAAAAAATTATTTTAGGATGGTTGATGCAAGTTCACTCTTTTTATGGGGAAAAAAAAACATGTAGATACTTCCATAATGCGTACCGATACAAACATATACGCGCGCGCGCGCACTCCCTCACATTCCAAATGTCTCCATTCGATAGTTTTTGTTTTGTTAGGACTCATTCCACCTAATCTCCTTTATTAAATTTTGGTTTAATATAATTTTTGATTCCTCAAGTTTGTCCTCATTTTGGTTTTAGTTCCTCAAGTTTTAAACCATAAGTTTTAGTCCTTCAAGGGACAAAATAGTCAAGATTTTTATGGAATTACAATGACCAATGTTTTAAATAAAAAGAAACTTGAGGGATAAAAGCTAATGGTAAAAATTTGAGAGACGCAAACCAAAATGAGAGCAAACTTGAATGACCAAAAATTGTATTAACTCTTAAATTTTCATTCCCATAATATCCTTATTTATTGGTTTTTATCTTTACACATTAAATTTTAATCATAACATTATTTTTTGAAAAAATTATTAAAATTAACTAACTCTCTACGTATTAATTACAATTAAAAAATCAACTTACCTACCTTTCCTTTTGAAATCTGTGGAGTAGTTAAAAGCCATTATATTTAGGGCTAAAATGGGGTAGATTTTTTGGCTGAGTTTGTGTCAATGCAAAAAATGTCTTTGGAAGAAATACTCCAATTGGACTAAAAAATACTCAAATTTGATGTTGTCAAATTGCTATATTAAAAAATCTATATAATTAGACAAAAATGAATTGAATCCTTTGTAATTTCAATAATAATCCTCCATACCTGTAAAAAGTTATGGGAAGGTCTTCTAAATTCAGCTGATCTGACCCTCCGTAATTGGGGGCGACTAGATCCTTGAGGAGGATTTCTTGGATCTTGATTTGATGCATCCATTTATCTGCAAAGTCATACACATTAATTAATAGTTCACTATATATACTCAATATCAGCATGTGAATTTCCTTTCAAATTTTTTTTATTAAAATAAGCACTTATTCCTCCTGATGACAAGTGTGATAATAAGATATACAGATATACTTAAATAATAAAAAAACATTTCTTGAAAAATTCCTCCCAACAAAATTATTGCCCAAAGATATCTAAGAACTTAGGACTTAAAGGGAGTAGAACTCGTCTTCAATTATGTGCAATATAACCTTAGATATGCAAAAATGTTTTCTGTTTCGCATAAAATTATATAGAGGTTATACATAGCTAAAATAGAGTTGTGCCCACTGAAGATAGATTGCACCGATCCTTAAACAAATTTTTGAAGTCAAAGTAACTCTGCGTATTAATTATTACCAAAAAAATCAATAATTATAATCTACTTGTTTTTTTTTTAAATTTGTGAATTAATTAAAAGGATCTTATATTTAGAACTAGGAAGTAGATTTTTCGGTCAACTATACATATGAATGATAATAATTAAATTGTTAATTATGACAAACTATGAGTGTTGACGATTTTTGACCTACAGTTAATGAAATCAAAGGGGTATCGGTGTTCGGGAAAATCAAGCAAGTTCAAGAAAGCAGCTCTGCACTCTAATGACTTCACATACCAATGATTAGATGATGTTGAAAAGCCTTTCTTTCAAAGTTTCCATTTTCAAAAATTTGCAAAGTAATTTGGTGAAACTGTACTCACTTAATCATAATTTCGTGAAGATTAAACCGTGAAAAGAACATTTATTTTTATACAGGTTTATTACTTCAGTCTTAAGATCTGTGTGATATATTTGACAAAAATGAATTAAGTCCTCTGTATAATTTCAATTATAATCCTCCATACCTGGAATTTCGACTGCAACAGGAAATTTTCCTCTCGTAGCACTTGCCTAAAACCAGTTTCCAGAATCGGAGAGTTAGTTTTCTGGGAAATGATAATATAAAAATTACAATTCTTGAGGTATGCATAGAAAATGAGATTTAAAAGATCTGAGTCATATTTGAAAGTGACTCTCCGACATCTTTGATGAAATCATAAAGGTAGGCCAGGAGGAAGAAAGTTAAAGTAGAATGAAACGAAGTCGAAAACATACAAGTGAGATTTATTCAAGGAAATGCTTTTGCAAACAGATGAGCAATACGGCTACCGTTCACTGTTGAAGAAGATGAAGAATCTGTAGATGAACAGAGAAAGAAGACCCTTATTTTACCTTATGGGATGCCTTTATATGTTCTTTGCTTTTAGAGTGATATTGCTTAGTCCTTCGGTGGTGCGATGTGAGAGAATATATATATATATAGAGATGAGAGAGAACCTACGGGAGTGGTTCTTCTTAGTCAATCTAAGCATTAAGTCAATTCCAGTAGTTAAATAAATAGCACACGGAGACCAAAAACAGTGGTTTCCCTCTTCTCCATATGGATGAGCCCCATGCACTTAGCTTTTTATTTTTTTCAAAAAAGCAATGATATGAACTAACTAATCATTGTTGTCGTTGTTAAGTTTGATAATATCTTATGAGTAAAGATAAGTTGTAAATATATAAGTAACCATGCATATTTTAACCTAATTGAATAAGCTAAATTGCAATTTGTAAGCGTCTTCGATCTATCCCACTCATATTACTCTGTATATTTTATATTGATTATCATATAGGAGAACTTAAATTGCATTGAGATTTTAAGGTGATGAGATGCGATGAGATTGGGCGGTGAGTTTTAAATATCTCCTGTGGTTCCATACTTAGTCATGCAAGGGATAATGAGTTAGATTAGGAGTTTTATTTTAAGTCTTTCACAATAATTTACAATCAAGTGCATCTGACCTCTGGTTATATAAATAAAAATAGTATATCTTAGTGTAGAGAGAGGGACTTACAATTGCCCTAATTCTTTGTGAATTTTTTTTTTGTTCATTCATTATTGCATTATGTTTCTTAAGATGCATTTAGGGGAAAAGCACTATGGTTGAAGGGATTGGTGCCTTGTTTGAAATTCAATTGATTTTATATTCCCTTTATTCTTATTTATTTTCACAACAGACAGAGAAATTGGGCACCAAAACTTTGACCTCAGCCTGCCGCCTTTTAGAGGAGTGGAGACCTTACCACCCATTCTAGAGATAGAAGAAGAGAGTCTAAATTATATGGTTAAATGGCAATTTTACCCTTAAATTATGAGAACTTCGTCATGCTACGCTTTGGGATTCTCAATCAACAATTTAACCAACCGATGCAATATTGTGTGACTTCAGGTCATGTTCACTTTCAAAAACCTTTAGTGATGTCCTAAGATAACTAAACATCATAACTACAATAAAACGAGGTTTTGGCTTAGAAAAGTAATTTAAGCTATAACTAAATGAATGCAATAAAATTAAAGCCAGGTTACAACATTTTTGGTATTTTTATATAAAATAGAAATGAATAATAGGAAATCTCCTGAAAATGAATTTGATGGCAATCATGTTTTACTCAAGATAATGGAAGTTTTGTAAAAATCATTAGGCTTTCTTGAATACAACCTCAATGACTCATTGAGTCCATTATTTAAATCAATGAACTTTATTAATGAAACATTATTAAGCTCTTGTAATGTGCAATTTGAGAATGATTAATGCAATTGGTTTAATGCAATCTAAATCAACTCAATACCCAAACATAAGTATTCAAGATAAGAGAGAATCAAAAGAGCCATAATGAAACATATATATATGACCACATATATTAAAGCACAAAACTAAAGGCTGAGCCTAAACACCTTTTTGAAGCTTGGAAACTCATGCCTCTCACCATCATCATCATAACTTCACGTAGCCTCTAGAATAGCACGCAATGGCATGAAATCTTCAGCCATAGAAGCTGGAAATGGAAGAAAATGGATGGGAATGGAAAAAGGAACGTAGAAATGGAGGTAGAGGAAGAGAGAAATGGAGAGAAAAGGGATGGAGTGAATGGAGGTAAAGGAAGTGTGTTAGGGTTTGAATCAGTCTTCCTCTTCTATGGTTGGAGTCAGGTCTAGGTGCAGAAGTGGGCAAAAGGTTCCAATTTGACATAGTCCAAAGCCCAAAATGCTGTTTTGTAGGCACAATGGGTTCGCTGTGGTGAACTACACAAAGAGCCACTTCTTGGTCTTTTATTTTGCGTAATCCCTTGGTTTGACTCCTTGGCTCCTTTTCTCTCATGTCCTACAATGAAAATCAATGTTTCTTAGCATCAATTATCCTATAAATCAATTGAATATAATTAATTACCAATTATGATAGCTTAGCCCTAAATTAAGCTTAATTCAATACAATCACTCTTAATCCAAATTATACAGAAATACATGTAAAAGAGCCCATACAACTTAAATGAACACTTAAAATGGTGAGAAATAACATAGAAGAATAGGGTTCAATTAAGCACTTTGATCTAATTTGAATTATTGATTATTATAGCAATGCTGCCCCTTGGGCTTCAAAATTGTTGCAATCTCACTCTTAAACTAATGGATATTAATGTCAACCATTGACTCTCGATTGACTTTAAGCTGGGTTAAAGAATATTGTTGCCCTTGAAGTATATATGGAAGAGCAACTAATATGAGCTTAATAATGTGGAGAAATTGATATCATTGCTTTTTGTTGAAACATGTGGCATTTTGTTTAAGGTGATCACATGTTTTGCCAACCAGTATTTATTAGTAAAAGAGCAAGTCTATTAACCTAGCTAGAGAAACAATAAATTAGAAACGTTTTCACAATTTAACTATGCCTATCTTAACTTGCTCGTAGGGCACTTGCTGCTAAAAAAAAAATCTCTCAACCTGCACTGAAGGTTGATAGCAAAACATCATGTGCATGTTCTATTAAAAAGGAAAAAAAGGGTTGGTGGATAGATACAACCTATGATAATACTATTATCAAAATTTAGGATGCCAGTTACTAACCACTGGCCACTTGGCGGAGTGCTTGTGCGTGTGTGGGGTGTGCGTGTTGCGGGTTCCAGCCTGCCCCTCTTACAACTGGGGGGAAAAAAAAAGGGATGCCAGTTAATATTTATGTCAAGCATAATACTTCGGGTGCAAAAGTACTCATAAATTTAATTTGAGGTGGTCAATGTTAATGCATGTTAATATCCAGAGGTGATATTACAAGTTCCAACAAATAGTTTAGGATAACTAATACTCTTCAAGAAATAGTTCAAAGGCAAGATTGTCTTTTAACCTGATAATTTAGAATTTTTTTTCATAACTGACCCAAAATTTATAAAAGTTTTGTATAATTTAGCCATAACTAAATGAGCAGTCATCATGATCGAATTAGAAGTGAGGTTGACTGATGATGTGCTTCATTTGGGGGAAAAAGAATCCCAGATAATATAAACTTTTCTTAGATCAAAAGCTTGCACGTAAATAATGTGATAGATTATAAATTTTATATTTTCTATTGATGTTAATGAAAGTTTTCATTGTACATATAGTTATTACCATCATATTCCCTTTTATTTTCGAATCCCCAAATACAAGTTATCATTACTATGTCTCTTTCATTGCCTTTCATATCCTCCCTCGTTCTAACTGTGTTTTAATGGAGACATTAACTACACGAGAGCAAGAATGGAAAGGCTCGAGAAGACTTATCAAAGATCAAATTTAAGGGTGGTTAGTTAGAGAGTGAGAATAGTAATTGTTAGAATAATATATGAGAGAATGCCCAAATATATATATGTATGTATATATGTGAGAAACGCGGCTGATCAAAAGTAGGCTCTTTTGTCAGGTAATATCTTCATCTTTATCTTTTCCAATTCCACTGTGTTCACTAAGTTAATTAGAAGTCACCAACACCGCAATTCCAGTGCATCCAAATGTAATCCCATTTCCTCCTATACATTATTAAAAAAAAACCTGGAAAAAATCCTCTTATTATAAGACACCTCCCAAAAAATAGATTGTCTTTATATTATAGATTACCAAATGATGTATTAATTCATTTTTCCAAGATTTTTTTTTTTAACTTTCAGACAAAACTAATGATTTATCCATTTCTCTTTGAATTTGATGAGGTAGTAAAA